ATCTATTTCCCCATCCTCATATAATATATTTGTATATGTACATGTCTTTATCGAGAGCTCTATAAATACCCTTTGCCTCCCAGCTCTTTCCTCTGGACATGGTATTTCAGAGCCTCAAGTTGAGAGTCTAGACAAGTGGTTCTCAACCTGTGGGTCATGACCCCTTTGGGGTCAAACGACCCTTTTACAGGGGTCACCCAATACGGAACAGTAGCAAAATTACAGTTATGAAGTAGAAACGAAAATAATTTAATGGTTGGGGGTCACTGCAACATGAGGAACTGTATTAAAGGGTCGTAGCATTAGGAATGTTGAGAACCATTGGTCAAGAACAAGTGCCTTATAAATGTTCACTAGCCAGATGTAGTCCTTTTCTAGCTTTGCTGTGTACTGGCTAGGTTTCCAGATAGAGCCTTTTGCTCTCTTCTGAGTGTTTAGATTTTTTAGCAGTTCCTGACTCTGAGACGGGTTCTTTGGCAAGGCTATTGGCCCAGTTCTTGCAGAAGAAAGAATCTTCAGCTCTTGTTGCTGCTTTGTGCACACTTAATATGTGTGGTCTTGATCTACTGATGTGTTAGACCAGAAACAAATTCAGGGACACTGATGTATAAGAAAGAGCTTTGATACCAAAGGCCCAAGTAGAAAGCAAATGTTTTGAAAATGATGATGGCAATAAATGTACAAATGTGCTTGACACAATGGATGGATGTATGGATTGCGATGAGTTGTATGAACTGCCAATAAAATGATTTCATTTTTTAAAAAGAGCTTTATATCAAAATGTAGTTGTATATTAGGAAAACATCCCAGCTCAGTCCAGATTAAGCCCGTAAGTCCAATATTAGCCCTTACATCCAATACTAGTTCAGAAAACCCTCTTTAGGCTCACACAGCACATGTGATGATGCAAATGCAGGAAGATCACAGGTCAGTGAGTAAAAGGTCTTGTGGATCCCATGGTGGGGTGGAAGCATGTCAATGCTCACGTGGGTCTCCACGTGGGTGTGTCTCAAAAGCAGTAAAGTGAAGCAGAGAGAGAGAGAGAGTGGCCCGCCTTCAGGGAGAAAGAGGTAGGCCAGCCACGGAAAGCCATTTATCTTGGTTTCCCGCCAATCAAGCTTCCACCTGATGGCCAGGCTAAACTCTGCCCACATGTTCCTGCTAGAGCCATGTTGGCACAGAAAACCTAACTATCACAGTCCACCCCTTGCCAACTTGGCTCTTTTACACGCCCCTTAACCATAATTTAAAAAACAAAGAGAATAGTAAAATTATATTTGTGCCTAACAGGATAAAACTAAAATTATGCAATTCAAAATGTGCAAGCCTCCTTTAAACATAATATTCTATTAGTGAGCAAAAATATTCTATACTTGACAATTACAGTTATGTGAATGGCTTACACCTGTGTTAGATAATGTGCTGTCAATTTGAGACTTACGAGTGAAGGGGTGGAGTTTAAGCCTGTCAATCAGGTCGCAGCGTGATGATCTTAGCATCAGGCGCTAAGGAAGAGAAATAGCTTGCTTGAGGTGGAACACACGCTCACTCCCTCTCCCTCTGAGACATTTCCGTTCAGAAGACACATAGAACTACACTAAAGCCTTGGAGCTAAAGGAGCCATGTGGAGACCCCTGCCAGGGCTGAGTTGCTTTTACTGCCACAGCATCCACAAGACTTTCCACCCACACTGGCCTGTGATCTTCCTGCATTTGGCATCATTGCATGTGTTTCGTGAGTCTGAAGAGGACTTTATAGATTGGTATCTGACATATGAATTAATATTGGACTTATGGACTTGATCTGGACTGGGCTAGGATGTTTTTTCAATATTTAATTGCTCTTATATATAAAGCTCTCTCTTATAGACATATAAGTGTTTATGAATTTGTTTCTGTAGTCAACCCTGACTTAGAATCAATCCTATGATCCTATGAATATATTCCCCACTTATGAAAGTTTGTAAGCCAGCCACTTCATACCTTTGTATTCCCCATTTTGGGTATCCAGTTTCTATATTTAGCACTTACATTAATCCATTGCTCTGAAAAGATATGCATGTTCTTTGATGTGAAAAATCTTCATTTCAGTTGAACTGTTGTGAGTCTGCATCCATGAGCAGAGTCAGATCAGGACAGGCCATGTCATAAAGTCAGCAGCAATATGAACCAATTCCCAGGCTCAAAAGTCTTATTTTCATCTGGTCAGCTCATTGTGGGCCACCTCGATTAGCCTCAACAGGGTTCCCATTGACCTGCCTACCTTTCTACCAAAGACACCCTCACAAATTCTCAACAACTCTAGCCCCCTTGGGCTAGGTCATGCCATGGCTAAGGTTCTGCAGGGCTTTAAACTTCAGACCAGCCAGCCTTCTCATCTAGTCCTGTGAACCAGGTCCATGTGTCCGTCTCTATTGCTGCATTTTTCCTACTTCCACTGAACAAGTGGATCCAGGTGGTCACCTAGCGAGCATTTTTTTCCTTTTTAAAAATCATTTTGTTGGGAGCTCGTACAATTCTTATCACAATTCATACACGCATCAATTGTGTAAAGTGCATTTGTACATTCATTGCCCTCATCATTCTCAAAACATTTTCTCTCCACTTAAACCCCCACCATTAGGTCCTCATTTTTCCCCTCCCTCCCTGCTCCCCCCTCCCTCAGCCCTTGATAGTTTATAAATTGTTATTTTTTCATATCTTGCCCTGTC